GTAGGGAAACTGAAAGTAGCTTTTTAAGTAAAGTTTACTAGAAGTTGAGATAAAAAAACGGAGCTTGTCATGAGATGAGCTATGTTTATGGCCCGAATCAGGGTGTTCTTAAAGGATAAGCGTGGTCTCAAAAATCTCCAGTAATTGCTGTGCACCTCGTAGTGAAAAGTGCTCGCACCAGAGCTTTGGCTATGTTAATTTCAGAGCAAGATTCAACCTGCAGCATGTGATCTGGCTCGCAGGGGCCCTCACAACCAAGCCGATGCGTTGCCTTGGCTCGCTTCTCGCTTCCCTTCCCTGCTTTGTAGGAGTTGTCTAGGAAAGCTGAGAGCGGCCAGTTGATCTTACACTGAATGGATTAAGGAAGTTCAAGAACAGTGGTTCAAAAATTTCCAAACTTGCCACAGGAAAAGAAAAAAAAATGCAGATCAAATTTAACTATAAATCGGGCAAAGAGAGGCTGAAGGATGGAGGAGGGCGGTGTATGGTGGCCTGGTCTGACTTGGTCATGCTGCTGCAGTTTCTCCATCCTCAGGTCTCTTGCGCAGGTACTCGCAAAAAACAAGTGTGCAGAGGTGGCTGTTGGAGCAAGCTCAGCCCTGCTGGTGCTGCTGCTTTCGAAGGTGCCTTCCAAGTGTCCCTGCTGCTGACGGAAGCCTTTTGCACTGCTCCTTCCTCAGCATCTCGGGCTGAGCAAGGGTCTGGTCCCTTCTCCGCAGCGGCTCCTGCTCCCCAGTGGCCCCGAGTGTTCAGCGAAGCATCATGTGCATGTAGAGCACACTGTAATTTCTTTTTAAAATGGCATGCATTTATCTGATTAAGAGCTATGTAAATTCAGATGCAAAGCAGTCGCAGCCCTCGGGACGCTTGGCGCGCTGCCTGCGTGCTCGCCGTGCTGGAAGCGGCCGCGCAGCACTGCTGCTCCAAGGGAAACTCGCGAGCGCGTCATTGTGCTTCTGGCTTTGGGGGTGCTTGCGCCTTGGCCCTCGTTCGGTTGCCTTGCTGGCTCAGGAAGGAAAAGCTCGGCTCCCCTCTCCTTCCTCATTGGCAGCTCTCCTAAAGCTGCCTTCCCTGCTCAGCAGAGTCGATTCCGATGCCACTACCTGCACCCAGTGGTTAAGAGTGCTTTAGCGAGGACACCTCCGGGGGCCGGCACTGCTCGGAGCAGTGCGGGTACCGCCTGCGTTTGGAGTGCTCCCGTGCTGGGGTGCTCTGCAAGGCTTGCGGTGCTGGTTTTTGGCTCCGCGAGCCCGAGGTGCAGTCAGAACGGTGGCAGTGCCTGTGCGCCTGCAGGACTTACCCACATCCCTGCCTCTAGCTGCAAATGACGGGCTGGGTGGCATGGTCTGCTCTTTCCGCTAGCCCCCTTTACCACGTGGGTGAAACCTCCTCTTTCCTTGAAACGGAGCTGCTCCCCCGTTGCTTCTTTGCGGGATGCACCCGGACTCCTCTGTGTCGTGGGCCAGAAGGGAACCATGCAGAGGATTTTAGGGCTCCCTGGCTCGCTGCGCCCGGCTCAGCCGCTTGGCCGTGGCACAGGCAGAGCCTCTCCCGCCCGGGGAGGCCTCGAGCCTCTGCGCCGGGTGCGAGGGCGGCCAGGGCAGAGGGAAGCGTCTGCCAGACTGTTTCTCTTTGCTGGTGCTCTCCCCTTGGGTTTTTCTTCTTGCCTCAGTCACTTCCCCACGACACGATTTAGATGCTCCCTCGGAGAGCGAGAGGAGGAACCAGAAGCACCAGCAGAGGCAGAGCTGGCCTTGAAAAAGTCCCTGGGGAGGTTGTCAGGCGAGGAGGTGGTAAAAAGGGGCAGGGGAACTACGCTGCTTGCTGGGGAGGTTTTGGGAGCTGCCCTTGTGGCTCAGCGTTTGAGGGCAGAGCGGTGAGCAAGACCAGGGAGAGGTCCATCAGGTCCATTTGTGCTGGAAATAGGATGGGAAGAGTTGCCTTGGCCTGGAAATTCTCCCTGGCTGGGGACATGGTTAGTTACTTGTCTCTTTCTAGCCAGAACAAGACGCGACCATCAATATTTCATACTGGGAGAAGTGGTCGGGCTAAATATAACCCCTGCTTGCTCACGAGCGCTCCGCGCCGCAGCCCACAGCAGCAGCACCCACTGCCTCGAGGCGCTCGGAGCGACCACGGGGCCGTGTGGAGCCACTCGTGTGAGCTTGGATCCGGTCCCAGCTTCGCTCTTTTCCTCGGTGCTCTATTTCATCTTGTCGAACACTTCAACTGTCGTCTTTCCCAGTTACACAAGTGTAGCCGACACCCCAGGAATGCATGCTCAAGGAAGGGCTCCCTATGTAGCAAATGCTGTTCCACATACTCACTTAAACAATGCGAAAAAACCTCAAACCCTCATCTTTTGCACTGCAAAGCCCTGGGAAGATGAGTTAATAAATAAATACGTGGGGGTTGACTTGCCAGGCAGGTGGGCTGCATTCCCTGGCGTGGGTGTTGGAGGCACCACCGGTCCAGTATCCCAACGGCGCGGCAGATCTCAGCGGGATGCAGTCCCAAAGGCCGCTCCTCCGCGTGTCCCTGTCACTCTTCACCTTTGCCTGCACCTTGGAAGCCCTTTGCCTCAGTGCACAGGGTGTGAGGGTTGCCATGGTGATTTTCCAGGGATTTACACCCCTTTGGAAGTGTTGATGGCTCTGGAAGCGGCTGCTGAGCAGGGCTTTGGGAACTGGTCCTGCCAATCTTGGATGGGGCTGCATGTGCTAGCCCTGGGGCCATGAGCTGCCTGGGGTGGGAGCCTTCAAACAAACAAACAAAACTAATAAAGAGGAATTTCTGGTCAACATTTACTTGCCACTTAAAATCTCCTTGGTTGTAAGTGGGACCTGAGTGCTGTTTCATGCCTCAGGCAGGTTGCGAGTGAGTCACACCCGTTAAAAACACTGAATAACTGCTAGAAATTAATAAAATATGAAAAATATTTGCTCTGCAGATTTCCCTAGTTCCGTGGTGATGCTCTGACCATCCTGCGCTTAGAGCTGCTGCTGTTGTTATTTATAATCAGCTGAATCTCTTTGTTTTCACTGTGAAGTTGATGTTTATTTTCTCTGGTTATTTCCAGTAAATATAACATAAACACTGTTATCAACAAGCTGGTCTTTATAAAATAGCCTGGCCAGGATTTGGCCAGGATCCACCTGTGTCAGATTTCACCAGAGAACATGAAAGGAACTGAAAGTTTCAATACTTTCCCATGGATTTATGCTTCAGGGCTGAATTGTTTTGCCCGAGTGATTTAATACTGTTAAGAAATATGCATACAGCCAGAAGAACAGTAGGCAGTATTAGAAGGATTTGAATAACCTTTTCAATCAGATCATCTTCTCCTATTAAAAGTGTTTTAAGGAATCTGCAGGCTTTAAAAAAATGTTTCTCTGTTTTGCTTTTAATCTCAGTTTCAGAAGTATCTTGACTCATTCTTGAGACTATATAAGGTTCAGGGGAAGCTTGTTGTTGTTTTCTGTATAGCAAGACATTTTGTTTTAAATTTCTTTTTGTCATCACCTTGCGAGCTTCTGTAAATGGTATAGGCCTTGTAGAAAATTTCTCCATTGCTTATGCAGCTTGTAATGATCAGCCTTATGAAGGTTGTTGGGCTTGCTGCTTTTTGCTCCCTTTAAGATACATTTTCTATATAAAGTTGAGTGCCCTCTAATTCTCTGCTTTTAACATATTTTCAGGGAGATTAGACTCAAGATTACCCTTCCTGAACTCCCTAGCACCTGCGCATGGCAGGTGAAATCGGCTGCTGCTTCTGTGGGAAATTACAAACCAGCCTGCAGAGAGGGAAAACACTGACCTCTCTGTGGGACTTGACCTTGTAAATCATTTAAATCCCAAGCAAGCGTTCTCCTGTTTTGCACAGGACTTCCTGCTACGAGGAGGCTGCTAGGGCCAGGCTAGCACCAGGCGTGCTCGGAGCCTGGGGTTTTCAACAATTGTTTGAGATGAAAAGGCAGGTACATTGGCTTTAACTTCAGTAGCACTTAGACCAAGGCTGCCTACATGTTAAAATCCCCTTTATATCGCCCTCTAACAGTATTTTTCATTAAACATCCTAACACGCTGCTGAAATGGGGATAGGCTGGTCTAATTGCCTAAATTACTGTGATGCATAAAACCACTGGCTGGCAACACGGGAGTTGGAGGCCTGCGGACCATTTTGGTCCGGCCTGATCTGAGTTTGCGCTGGAGCGTTTGGGCTTCCTCGGATAGGTTTGCCATGTGGCGGATTGTGCCATTCCTCACACCTTTAGTCGCCTCTGCGCTGCTGGACACGGCCGGCATCTCACTAGGTTGTCTTTTGGTCTTGCAGGTAGCTGTATCCAGTTGGGTGGCAGGTGGATCCAAGGGTCACCATGAAGTTTCCAGGACCCCTGGAGAGCCAGAGGTTGTCTCTCCTTCTGGAGATGGCAATCTCTAGAGAAGCTCAAATGTGGAAAGCACATGTGCCGAAAATTCAGCCCAATCAGGTAAAGTGTCTTTCTTCACTTCTTTTATCTTAGTAAAGATTCTGTCAAAGGCTTAAGGGTATTCACCAGTGTAGTTTTATGTGAACAACCAAAGTTACCTGAGAAGTCACCTTCTGTCTGGGAGCTGGGCAATTACCGTTTGAAGTAGCTAATGTTTTATTTGAGGAACACGCCTGCAGTCGGGGGTACAAAACACACTGTACAGAATAGGGTGTTAAGTCTCTGCTGTTTCTTGTAAAAGCACATACATCTATTGCTTTAATTAAATTCACTTTAAGAATTGCATGGATAACTAACATTTCTGGAGGGCACTCGTTGTGCCACAAGTTTGAAAAGCAGCTTAATGTTTTTACATTAAGCTTATTAATACTACCATTGAAACACCAGTTGCTTTCCACATGGAGCATCTTCTCACCCGAACCCTCACTGCCAGCGTAGCTGCCTCAGGCTTCCTCGTGACCCAGCGCGGTCAAAGCCTGGGTGGCACCACAGAGCTGGGCCCTGGCCTGGTTCAGTGAGGAGTGGGGTTGCCTTGCCCCTGTTCTGTAGGAAAGGCTCGATATCAGTTTCCTTAGTCCACTTTAAGGTACCCGAGTAAGCGACCTGCTTGTCACAGGTGGCGAGTGTATCGTGACTGTGGCTGACTTGAGGCCACCTACCTTTTAAGACCCTTGTTTATGGCAGAGCAGCCTGCTCTTCCGTGCTGGCAGTGTCCCCAGGGTGAGTGATAATGTAGTGCGATAAGATTACAGTATAACGAGATAGGTGAGGGATTCGGGAAGTGCAACTAAAGCGGGTTCTTGTCTGAAGATTTCCCAGTGACAAAGCTCCTGCGTTTTGCCTTTGTGAGTTTGATTCTGGGTGGTCAAGACACTCCCCCCCCAGCCCTTCTTGCAGCAGTCCCACCCTCGCCAAATGGGATAGTTGCCCCTTGAGGACGGGGTTCCTCAGCGGTGCCATGTTTGAGTTGTCACAGAGGCGTAAGGACCGATCTGTGTCCTGTCTTGCTGCCGGGGACCTCTGTGATCTCCTCCCCATGGCAAAGAGAGACAGGCTTTACCTGGCACAGCGTCAAGGGGCCGGGACGCTGCCGCAGTTGAGGTTTTGAAGCATCCTGCAAGATGTCCTTATCAATAAAATAATCCGGGAAGTTAATTTGACTTTTGCCGATCTGCCAGATACCAAACTGGGGAGGCAAATCTGTTGCCTTCTGCGAAAAGGCACAGTAGGATTGAGTATGGAAGCAGTGTGATGGCTGATCCATTGTAAAATGTGTGCTCAGTAAAATTGTGCTCTGGTCTGGCCTGGACAGGTACCGAGTTTGTGTTTTTAGTGTGCAGTTTTGCCATGATAATGAAGGTTATCTTACCCCTCTCTCCCTCTTTACTGTGATAATAAAGTTGAGATTCCTACTTCTCCGTGTTTATCACCATGAAGGTTTTTCTCCTGGGGCTCCATGAGATTTCATCTGCAAAACTGTGTTGCCTTTAAAACCTTTTTTTTTTTTTTTTTTTTTTTTTGCGTTTTCTTACATATAAATTCAAGATGTTGACTTTATCAGCTAGAATGTCATAGTATTAAAATTTATCTAGCAGTAAAACATCCTTGCATTGGCTTGAAGTCTCTATGTGCCTATGTGTATGATGTGCAAAGGTCACATTTAAAAGAGAGCATAAACACAGCTGCTGGCACACAGGAAACGCTGCCTGGCACAGCCAGGCTGGCGCTGGGTCTGTAGTGCTCTAAGTATTTCTTTCTCTTCCTATGCTTATAGCATGACTTTCAATCTGTCATGTTTTCTTTCAGTTCTGCAGGATTCATTTTTGCAAAGTAGCAATCATATAGTTCAATGTGAATTACCCCATTTTCTCAAATACCTGAAAGAAAGTCATATTCCACAACATCCATTTGCTTTTTTTGAAAACAGCTTGAGTAGCCTAAAACCTCCCTTGTATGAAATCGCTGTTTATGTCCCAAGATAGTCAGGAAATCTGCATCACTCTGGGTATCAGATCTGACAACCTGAAGCAAGAGTAACTTTCCATTCCTTGCTGCAAAGGTAGACTGCCTTAAAAATGTGTTTCAATGAGGTAATCCGGTTTGCAAGTGAGAAGTGTGTGTGCAAAAAAAGCTCATGGTCAGAGGAGAAATGCGCCTTAACTGTTTTTTCAGGAGTGAAATTTTCAGTTTGAGACTTGGAGGCATTTTCAATGCTGATGTTTAAAAACAACATATAAATGCCCTTTCTAAATCTGTTTATGTCAGATTTTTGAAAGGAAGGAAGAAATTCAAAATTAGAGAAACAGGAAGGCCTATACTTTTCAGCGTACGGTGCAGAATTGGTTGGGGATTTCTGCCCTGATAGCACTGGCTCCAGGTGTTTATAAATAAACCAAAGCCACATGTCACAGGGGCTTTCTGGCTGATAAAATAGCTGGGCTTCTCCTGGAGTCCCCTTGGTTTCATTAATGTTGCGTTTTTACCTCTGGGTCATACAACATGCAGGTGACATTCAGGAAGTTCTCCTGCGATCAAGGCGTAAGAAATCAAGCAGCAAGGACTGGTCAAAGGTTTATTTTTGCACGTTAACAAGTAACTTTGCAACAGAGACATGTTTAATTCAAGACTTTTCCTGTATTTCTAGTAGACACTACCGTGTCACACCTACTATTCCCCCTTTCTCTGCTTGTTCTTGCTCCCTTTCTCTGTGTCCTCATTTGTTCTGTATAAATCACGAGGAATCAGGAAACCTCAGTCCATTCCCAGTTTTTAACAGTGTCTCCCCACGTGCCCTTGGGGATGTCTAGTAACCTTCTGGTGCCGGCTCGGTGCCCTGTGTGAATCAGAGGCCGCCACTTCCAGCGTTGCGAAATGCCGGGAGCTCGGCCTGTTCGGCTCTCCCAGTGCGCAGAGCCGTGTGCGGCCCCGCCGGCGTGCGGGCGCGCTCGTTATCCGGCATAAGCAAAGGCAGTTTCTTTCCCCGTACCGCACCAAGGGACTGCAAGGAGGAGCTCAGTGCAATGCACCGCACTTTGCGCAAGGAACAGGCAGAAGCTGACATCCCATTTGCTTCCCAATTTTGTCTTAAACCCATTCACTTTGGTTCTGTAGCTCCTGCAAGGCAGTAGGGTTCATGATTGTGCCAACACAAAACCCATGAAGTGCTCCAAAAAGCCAGGAATTGGCACCCCACCTCTTTTCTTGAGAAGAAAGCACAGGCCTGTGACTCAGAGCGGGTTTTGATAGCGTTAGCAGTCCTGTAAACGTGCTGGGGCTGTGCTTGCCCTCCACGATCCCGTTCCGAGGTGGGCCTGGAGCTCAGCGCCTTGGGAGCCCGCGTGCCGGGCACTGCATCCTGCCAGGGCCATCGGCAAAGGGCAGGGATCGTGACCACTTCGTTCATGGCGCAAGTCGTGCCCGTGTCTGCATGTCCCCGTGGGGGCCAGGCCGATCCGCAGGTCCGGCCCTGCCTGGCTCCGAAGAGAATCGGGGGAGAAGCGCCCGCCCGAGGGGGTGAGCAGTCCTCGAGGGGGCGGCGGTTGCTCCCTGTGCCCCAGCATGGCCGCTCGCCCGGCGCAGGCCGGCGTGGCGCTTCCTTGTCTCCCCTTGCAACGGCTGCTGCCGCTCCGCGCCAGGAAGGCGCTTGCCAACCCAAGAGCAACTTTTGCAGCCCAGAGGGACGCTTCACTCTCGTGTCTCATTTTTGCTTTTAATTTTATGTAACTCAAGGAAGGATGACCTGGCTGCTTAATTAATTTTACAGCGTTGCATTATTCACATAGCTAGGCTGGCATATGCGCACCCTCGAGGTAGAGGGACAGGAGTGTGCTGCGCTGGGGGAGCGGGCTCCGTGCCTCGCCTGCCAGCAGCAGCGGGATTCACTGCTGCCAAGGGAGCAGCTGCTGCTGGCTCCGGCTGCCGGTGAGATGAGCTGGGAGGAGGCTTAAACCTACCTGCTCCTAAACCTCCTGGCTAGGGCAGTCCTGTCCCCACTATCCCTATAGCTGCAAGCGGGGAGTGAGGTAGAGAACCTTTATGGCACTGGGGCTATTGCAGGGAAGGGCTGAAGATCCTCCTCTTGCTTCTTTCCTTCCCCGCTGGAGTTCTTAAGAAGCCCACATTTATTGTGAAGCTTTGCACATGCCTAGAAATGACTTGACCTTGTGGTTACTTCTTCATATTCAGGGAACTCAGCGCTCTGTGCTGCCTAGGGAAGCTTTATTTTTCAGGGGTTTAGATAAAGCACCAAGTTTCTCTCTACATGAGTCTGCAAAATTGGCCCAGCCTGTCTGTGGTTCTAAGTCCTTTTGTACATCTTTTTCTCCCTCCATTTAAAAATAAACGCAGTGAATAAAGCCACAAGGAAGTTCATCTTTAAGATTGCTCCTCCCCTTCCTGACGGTGTCTGTCAGGTTTGCTGCGCAGCGCTTGCCTCGCCGCATGGGAAGCGCTCTCTAGGGACCGCCGTGACTTACCATACTGTGCGCCCTGCTTCTCCCCCCAGATAATCTCAGTCACTACCCCGTATTCAAGCAGCTTCCCCTTTTTCTGCAGGCAGAAGTAGCACCTTTTATAAGACCAAATGTCACAGCTGGAAAAACACAAACAGCTTTTTGATTACGAAGTGCTGTGTCTTCAGGTAGTGACGGCCACAGCAGCCCTCCTGTGTTACCTTTTCCAAGGGTAGCTGCGCTGCGGCAGGACCGTGTGGGTGACCAAGCGAAACCAGCTGTGCAGCCACTAACAGGTTTCAGCTCTCACTTCCCCACACGCCCTCGCTAATCACCTTGAATAATCCTGGCTGAAGTGAGACCAGAGGGACGCCTGGCTGAAAGGCTCTGCAGAAGCTGGAAATGTTTTAGAGCACTAGTCGGGCTGAGCATTTATGTCAATGACTCGTCTGTATTTGTGGCTGAAATTCAACTGTTGTCCAAACAGATCAATAGCGGTGACTTGGGTGAAAAGGAAATAAAGAAGCCTTTTGAATGGAAATTGTACCTGCTTGGCCCTGGTCCACCGTTTCCCTTGGCTGCTGAAAGGGCTTTTTTTTTTTTTTTTTTTTTTTTGAGCTCTCTTTGCAATCTTCTATTTTTAAGAAGTTCTGAGCTTAAAAAAATCCCTACAATTTTAAAGAGAAATAAACCTCTCCTTCTCAAAATACTGACTCATTTTTCCTCCCATCTGCTGTTTCTCAGGGGCCGGGCACCCGCCTGGCTCCTGCAGCACATCTGCTTTGTTCGGGCCTGGCTTTTGCATCTGTCTGAGTGGTGCCTCTTCAAGGAAGGTCAATAAACATCTCCAAGCTAAGCTGGAGGGGGACCGGGTCAGCACCTGAGAAACTGCAGGGCAGCCTCCCTCCTCTTCTCCAGGGCAGTAACGTTTACAGGTGGTGCTGGAGGAAGGACTTCTGCAAAGAAAGTCACCTGTCCTGAGGGAGAGCAAATTGGACAGGGGTGGTTGGGTTATTTCCTAGAGCAGTGACTGTATCACCTACCTGCAGCCTGGACACTGCCGGGGGTGGTGGCGAATCCCGTCTCTGACACGGTGCCAAGGGCCTGGCTTGCAGCTCTGTGGCCAAGAGACACAAACAGCTACTCAGAGCAGTGAGAATTCACAAGATTAGAAAAGGCAAGAGATTTCCCCCCTATTCTTGATAATTTTCTCACCTACAAGCGCAGTAGTTTATTATCTTGTTGAGCTGGGGGAAAAGACCCCAGAATACCCTAACATATCTTACATGGCTTCAGACGCGCTGCTAGACCCGACAGCCATTGAACAGTGTCAGGAGGAAATCTGAGGCGAGGTTACAGCCTGTTCCCACCAAAAGTGAGGGGCCTGGCCAGTGTCCTCAGGGGGGTTCAGAGCAGCCCTTTCTGAAATGGCCTTAGTGTCAGTGCTAACTCCTGCAGAGGTAAAAGTTTGGTGTTTTCTGCACAGCCCGTGTTTAAGAATGGTTTGTTTTTCTCTTCAACAGGATGTAGCCATTTCTCCAAAGCAGAGGGATGAGGTCATTCAGTGGCTGGCCAAGCTCAAATACCAGTTCCACCTTTATCCAGAAACACTCGCCCTGGCCATCAGTCTTTTGGACAGGTTTTTAGCCACAGTAAAGGTAAATATTTACAGATACGTAAACTAAAACGGATCTCTGCTGCCCACTCACAGAATGCCAGCAACCATCCTTCCTGCTCCTGTGCATAACGCTGCTCGTGTGGCTGTCAGGAAGTGCTCGCTGGCCCCCTCTGCTCTTCCACCCTGTTCCTTTCTCGAGCGTACGCAGGAGGTCACCTCTGTTACTCTGAACCTCAATTCCAGGCCCTGAAGCCATGGCAGCAGCCCTGCTCATTGTGGTGACATGCTGCTGCCAGGCACTTGTGGGTAGTTTCTTTCTTTAGTCATCTTTTTCCCTTGGTGAAAGTAGCCTTTCCTTTAATGAGAACATGCTGGTCGGCCTCTCCTGGGAAACTAACCCAGCGCTTTTACCTGCCAAGAATATTTTCTCCCTCTCCTATTCTGCCTTGTTTCCTGCATGTACTGCAGCTCATTAGCTCAAACAGCTATTAACCCAGGGGAAAAGAGTGCGCTGCCTTTTGAACTGCACGCTCTCTCTAAACCTGGCTTGAAGGTTCAATTAACCCTACCAAAATACTTGTTTCTTAAGCTATACCCAACTGAAGCTTAATTAAAGAAGAAACTAAATGGAGAATTTAAAGCAGTTATGTCTTAGATGAAAGGAAAGCTGTGACTTGAACAAAATTGAGTCATAAAGCTAGAGGAAATGTTTGCTAGCCCACAGTTAGCAACCGAAGCCTAAAGCCCTCTCACAGAGAAAGCCAGAAAGTCCCGGCTTGCCTCCCTTCACTGCACTGGTGTTTAACTGCCACAATATTTGGTCTCGCTTGGATCACCTGGAATTGCTGGGAGCACTTGCCAACACTGAACTAGCTGGAAGGAGAGACAGATGCCTGAGGACAGGCCCAGGACGGTTATGTTAGTGCAGGGAAAGGGAAGAGCGAGAAGGGCACAACTGGAGAGGAGGCAGGGGGGAACCACTCGACACCGACCTGCCCTGCACACAGCCCGGGGCACTGAGAGCCGAGGCAGGCTACCCTCAGGCAGACCCCAGGAAGGCAAGGTGGCAAACGGGCAGGCTTGCTCGTCACGCTCCTCCTGTGCTGAATGGTGTGCAGAATACGTCCATAAAGCCTTTTTTTTTAAAAAAAAAGTCTGGTATTTCACAGAGACTTCTAAAACAAAACAAAACCAGTATTTAGACCTTCTGCAGCCATGAAGGGATGAAGGGATCCCTGAAGGGGACGCAGGATGCGTTCCTGTTCTGTGTCTCAGCCAGTTGCGCTGTTTGTGCTAAGAGCGGCTGCTGTGGGAGTAACACAGAAGTGTGGAGCTTGGGACGCGTCCTGTTCCCATGCGGGTGGCTGAACTGGGGGGGTCACCTCAAGGTCCCTGGCCTTGAGTGCTGAAGTCAGCCTTGGGCCTTATCTCTTCCCCTGTTTGCTCAGTTAAATTCTGTGCTCAGCAACCCTGCAGTCTCATCTGCATGTGGGCCTAATCTCATTGCTGACAGTGTCAGGTAAGTGATGCAGCTTGGGCAACACAAGCAGAAGAATGAAACATTTCCAGCCTGTGTACTTATATTTCAATGAGACTTGGCTCAGCAGAACAATGACATCTTCCATCACCCATCCTTTAGATACTGTTAAATATTGCTAACATTACAGGTCATGGAAATCTTAACTGAAAATGGATGATTTACTGGAACACTGAGATGGAAAATAGATATTTACAACCTCTTAACAGTAATGCCCTCGAGTACAGTTTTTGCTTTCAGTAATTTGCAGCAGCCAGAGAGTCTACAGAGAAACAAGTAGGAGACTGTGACTAAGAGAAGCACGCTGGGCGCTTCAGGCACTGAACAGCAGTTGTGGAGAGGTGGTTGTCAAGAGGGTTTCAGCCTGTCCCGCGCTCCTTTGGGTGAGAGTTACTCACCCAGGTCAGGGCTTCTGCTCCCCCTGCTGCTGCTCTTCTCCTATGAAGATCTTGATGCACCCATGTACCTTAACTCCCTCTTCTAACCTGGCCCTTCTCAGTGCAATTTTTATTATGAAGACAAGTCTCTTCCCATCACTGTAAACATGCACTGGACTTGCTCAGCCTCTGTGGCCGTTTTCCAGTTGCTCCATGCCCTAGATCACTGCGCAGCACCAGTTAACCCTCCACTTGCTGGAGTTTGCAGCAGATACAGGTAGCAGGAGGCATCAAGAAAGCAAGCAGCGGCCGCCGGAGGAACCTGGGCTGGTCGCTGGGGTTTAACATGCTCTGTCAGAAAAGTCTGTTCGCCCTCACCAGTCGGTTGGTTGCTTAGCAAATGAGAGAACAAGCATATGCTGAAGTAATGCTACATAAAGCGGGGAATAAACTTGGCTGAGCCATCCAAGTTGCTCTAAATATCTTCTTTTCCCTGAATCCTGAGTGCCCTTTTGGCTGTACGTTTATTTCACACTGACAGTTTGCTCTAAACCTACCTCTACGGGGAAGAACAAGTCTCGGTCTCACTTGAGGGGCTTGGTTCTCCTTGCTGGGCGCAACACCTGCACACGCACGAGTGCGTCTGCCCTACACGGACTCCCTGCGAGCAGCTACGCTCAACTTAAATGTCACTAAAAAGCCACGGCTCTGGGCACAGCCAAGTCCTTTTATGTAACTGAAACTGAAGGCTGCTAAAGATCCTTAATTTGGACGGCAGCCAGCGTCCTTCTCTCCCAGTGCTTTCTGGAAACAGCATTTTAGGTTTCTCGAGAGCTTGCTGCAGGAGCGGAGCTTGTGGGATCACAGCTTTTAGCCCCAATATGTCCATTCTGCCCACTAAAATTAACCTGGCAGGAATTATTCTGGAAGGGGATTCTACCTTCTGCACAGGGTTTTCATTTACCTTCTGCTTTTTCTCACTGAAATTCCTTTTAGTGTGGGCAGAAGATAAGCAGTCCCACAGGCCACACCAAGGTACAGCAGGTTCTCAGGGAGCCGCAGTAGGTTAGAGAGAGCTCTGCTTTTCTCAGCGTGTGCTCAGCTACCGCACCCAGCGCTGGGGAGCAGTGGCTCTTCCTTGTTCCGTCACCCTTCCTTGTTTCTAAACGGTTGGAAGCTGAGTCCTTAGCCAGGTGGCAGGTGGACAGAGACGGCTACCGAGCAGTAGCTGTGGATGCGCCCGAGGGCCGCAGGGAGCACTGGCCCGCACAGTCACAGCCAGCACGCGTGTGCTTTCCCCCAAGAAATGAGGCCAGGGGGGTTTTGAGGCATGAAAAAATCCCCTCCTTTCCTATTTTAATTTAACTCAACCTCACCTTGAGCACTTCGCTGTAATAGGAGCCTGCTCTCCCTTTGCAATCTCTGGGCCACAGCTTTGAGAACTGCTGTAACAAACACCTTAAGTGCAGTATTTCTTAGGTACCCTCTACACCTCTATAGTAGACAGCATTTCTAAACTGCCCCCCTCCTTCCTGTTCTGGCTGTGCTGCGGCAGGAGGAGCAGCGAGGCGCTCGTGCCAGGTGACGGGCTGTCCCTTCTGCTTTGCTCCGTGCTCCTCCTGCTGCACTGCCTAGAAACACACAGTGCCAGGGTCAGCGCTGGCTGCTTCCCGCACTGCTTTACGTCATGGAATATGGATTTTGGCTGTGCACGCTCGTCCCTGCCAGCATGGATCCCCCGCTGATCCTGAACGTGTGGTGTGGGCAGCTGGAGCGCCTGGGACTGAGGTGGGCAGCATCACGTGGCCCTTTCGGGCCTGCTTTCACACAGGGAATTTCTCTGCTCTTCTGTGTCCTAGGCCCGTCCAAAGTACCTGAACTGTATTGCAATCAGCTGCTTCTTCCTCGCTGCAAAGACCATTGAGGAAGATGAGGTAAGACACCTATACGTGTATGTTTTGCTGTGGCAACGCACTGTCAGCCGAGTGCGTCCTTTCTGGGGCCACCTCTGCTTGCCTGCGGCGGCTGCCGCTCGCAAGGCAGGGATGAAACTCCTCGTGCAGCGGCTGCGATGCTGACCAGCGCTTTCTCTTTCTCCCTGCCCACATGTTGCCTTTTGCAGAGGATTCCAGTACTGAAGGTGCTGGCTCGGGATAGCTTCTGTGGTTGCTCTCCAGCTGAAATCCGCAGGATGGAGAAGATTATCCTGGATAAACTGAACTGGGATCTTCACATGGCAACACCACTGGATTTCCTTCATATTGTAAGTAACAGGACACTGTTTTCTTCACTGTCTTTGTATATACTGTATCAAGAGGTACCCAGGCAAAAAAAAAAAAAAAAAAGAAAAGAAAACAGCCTGCTTTAGGAGAGCAGAGCCCTCAGGATGCAGCAGTTCTGTACAAGCACTGCTGGAAACGGCCAGTCTTTCCAGAGAGCTTCAGAGGCAGCTTGTGATTTGAGATGCCTCAGGGGCAGTTTCCAAGACACGTGCCTACCGTCAGAAAACGTGGCCCTCCATTGCTGGTGGTTTTGTTCCAAGCTAAATGCCAGGCAGCAGTAAAACAGAAGTGATGCCAAGAAGCCAGCACTAGTGCTGGGCAGTGAGTGTGCCCAGCGTGTGCTGTGGGAAGAGCAGAGAACCTGCTTCTTTGGTAAGAGGTTACAGAGATGGAAATGCCCCGTGTTTCTCTTTACTGACTTTCATCTTCTCTGAGCAAGGATCAGAGGAGGTGGAGGGACCAGCCTTTTGCAGAGGTCCAAGAAGTCCAGTGCCCCACCACGTTTGACGGGACACCCTGGCAAAATGCAGCATGACTTTTTTTGTGGGTTTGACACAGAGCTGCTTTTGTCTTGGGGTGGGGAAAAAAATGGAGAATCCCTTGTGGCAAGGAGGCTGTGCTCCTGGTACAAGCTGGGTCTGACGGCCTGTGGCCAGCGGGAGTCCGTGGTGCGCGCAGGGGGTTGTGTGGCAGCATGAACAAGCCTCTGGGTGACACCACCCATCTCATTCTTGTCTCCCTCCAGTTCCACGCAGTTGCGGTGTCCAACAGGCCTCAGCTTTTGACCATCCTGCCCAAGCTGAGTCCCTCGCAGCACGTGGCGGCCCTCACGAAGCAGCTGCTGCAGTGCATGGCCTGTTACCAGCTGCTGCAGTTCAAGGGCTCTATGCTGGCGCTGGCCATCGTCAGCCTGGAGCTGGAGAAGCTGCTCCCCGATTGGCTGGCTCTCATCATCGAGCTGCTCCAGAAGGTGCAGGTACGGGGGCCAGAGCAGCGCAGCACCCCGAGCCCCAAGGGGCGCCCTGGGGACGCTATTGCACCCTGGGGAGAGAGCCTGAGGGCGCAGCTCAGGTATCACCTTGGAGCGCGGTAGCTGCTCTCGTGCTTACCGCGAGGACAAGCGGCAAGGCTGGCAGCAGATGCAGCGCGGCGGGGGCCGCGTCCCAGCCCTGCGCTGGCCCGTGGCCTCTGGTGGCGCGTCCCCTTCCCCTCGCCCTGCCCACTTCCTCGCCTCTCTTCTCTCTGCAGATGGATAGCGCGCAGCTGATCCACTGCCGCGAGCTCGTGGCACATCACCTTTCCACCCTGCAGCCTTCTCTGCCGCCCAACTCCGTATATGTCTACAGTCCCCTCAAGCAGACCCTGGTGACCTGTAACAGAGGAGTGTTCAAATGCCAGCCCTCCTCTGTCCCAGGGCCAGGTTTCTCCAAGGACAACGGCAGGCCAGAAGTGCCGCTCACAGGTACAGCCGCGCTCCAGCAGCGTCTGCCAGCTCCCGCCGGCTGCAAGCAAGCCTCGGCCAAGCGCAAAGTGGAAGAGATGGAAGTGGACGACTTCTACGACGGCATCAAGCGCCTCTACAACGAGGACGCGGCTCCGGAGGGAGTGGCTCTGGAAAGCAAGGGCTCGGTTTGCGGCGCTGACGTCTCGAGGCAGGAGGGCAACGTTTCCCCTTGTCCGCCTTTGCAGCCAGTGTCCGTTATGTAGCCGAGAGCGCCGCTCAAGTGGCCGCTCTCCAAACCTCGTGGGACCTGGCACCGGGTATTTGCAGTGGGGGGAGAAGGGGCCCATACCTTGTCAGGCTGAACTGAAGGGAGCCAAAAAACAGAAAAAAAAAAAATTCCCAACCCTTTTTTGAATTTTTTTTTCTTGTGCGGCTAATTATAATTCCACTATTTAAGCACTTAAAAACACAAAAAAAAAGTATAAAAAATTTATAAAAGACCCAAAAACCAACCAAAAAAAGGTAGCAAAAAATTGTTTCTTTCTAGTGTTGTCAGTTCCACTGTTTTTCTGCTCCTGTGTGTTGTAACCCATTCTCTATGTCCGAGAGCTCACATCGGTTGTGCAGAGTTGTTTCAGGTTTCCCAGCCAAGTAACACCCCTCGGATCCGATTTCCTTCTGCTCTTTACTCTCCTTCTGCTTGCTCCTGTTTTAATTCTCCACAAGTCTTGTGCATGATGTCCTGTACCACCTGACCTTCATGACAGGTTTGTTTTTTTCTTTCTGAAGAAAAAGACTTTTTGTTTTGTTAGCACTTTGGTGTTTAAATGTGATAATATTTAAAAACTGGATTAAAAAAAAAAAAAAAAAGGTCAGTCAGGAAAAAAAAACACACACACAAAAACAGTGCTTGCAAACTGCTCCACGCCTAAGTAACCACAGGAGCGTGAACGTACTCTAGAAGAACACCAGGGCGCCTGGCCACCGTGCTCTCTGCACCCCCACAGACACTCCTCCAAGCTAAATGCTGTCTGTGCTTGGAGACAGAGAAAGCAGGTAGTGAACTAAACTTGGTCACTTGAACAAAAACGGTTTCTTACTAGTTTGCACCAGGAAATACTGCACTTGGTGTGGATATGCACCAACACTCGACTCTCCACATGAGGTGTAAACCTTAAATTCTGCAACAAGTCTGCTTTTCCCATGTCTATAAGCCTTTAGCATGTGACCAGCACTGCTTGGTGAGGTGCTGGGGTGGCTACATACGCCCGAGGTTTGAAAGATGTGTAATTATCAATGACAAAAAAAAAAAAAAAAAACCAAAAGACCCTAAACCCCGAGTTTTGTGTTCATGTAACTTCTAACCCAGAGTAAAACCTTAAAAATCTCGTCTCTAAATGTTACACCTTTGTTTCTCAGAATGACCTCTCCCACAATCTTAAGCTCTCTCCACAGCCCTGAGGAAGGTATTGTACTTGGAGCCATTGTACTGATGAAAGCCTTCTGGTAGCAATAAAGAAAGTTGTCCTGGATTCTGAGTCTCATTTTGTGCTTTTTACCTGGGCTCGGAAGCAGCTGTACAAACGTCTCCTCTACAGCTGTCCCAGCTTCAGCCCCAGGCTCCTGTTGCTCCTCGCGCTCTCGTCCTATTCTTGCAGAGGAGTCAACTCAAACCCATGGGAATGTTTTGGCTCATCTGTGTCCCATCCGTCTCCTCTTTGACTTTCTAAACAAGCTGTTAAAGTGTCATGTTTCTCATGGGCAGGTTGGCTGTAGTTTACTACTTGCCTGGTACCCACTCCACCACAAACCACATTTGACTGTAAGAAGGTTGATGAAGAAGGAAGCTATAAATTCCTCCTCTCCTTTGGGCTTGGACCTCATAGGCCTCCCTGGGAGCCAGCCTCTGCTCATGGTGTACATGCTGGGCACCTCCTATCTTGCTTCCCTGCCTTGTGTCTTTTCCAGGTAGGCGTTGGGCAGCCTCAGCGCTGCGTCTAGCACACCTGCAGCCACACACTGGGCAAGAGTCACAGGACTTCAGTGACACTGGTGCTGCTTGGGTCTCACGTCAGTGCAGTCCTAGCCACATACCATAACAGGCCTAAATATTAACTGCCCTGGTACTGGATGTACCAACACTCGCACAGGAACGACTGAGGTCGGGCCAGGCCAGTGGTGTTTCTGCAGAACAGCCTTTGTGCCCTTGTGCTCGCTGCCTGTGTGCAGCACCGAGGAGCTTCCAGGCTGTCCCAAAGGGGCAGCTGCAGAGAGCCCTGAGCGCTGACTGGGGAACCCAACTGCTCCAGCTGGGCCGTGGAGCGTTCTGTTGGACGGCAGCCTATTTCAGTTGGCTTCCAACTGCACAGAACGTGTCAGGGAGAGGTGCAAACGGGAATTAAAATGCCAAAGCACCATCACCCAACACCACCAAATCTAAACCTCAGCCTTGAACAGCTTCTCCCTCTCTGAAAGCCCCTTCCCTGCCAGGTCAGGCAGTGCGTCGCCTCCCACCCTTCAGGCAGCCTCCGCACTCGGGTACTCTGAGGGCTACGGCCCTCATCCCGTCACAGAGCAGCTTGGGCTGAGCAAAGAGATGTCTCCACAGCACCGGCTGGCAGAGCCTTTGTTGCCCCTGAAGGGAAACCATGAGGACAGTTCCTTACTTCCTACTTCTTTACTGGATGTGCTGCAGGCCTGCTGAGTGACTATCACTTAGCAGGAAGGGAGCATTTGTCCTTCTCTCCATTAACCAAGGCGGGGGGCAAAAGCGGGCGCTGCACTGCCCATGCCCAGCGCATCCCCCATGGTCAGATGGAGCAAAGGCACCCACAGGGCCACAGACCTACCTGCACAGGGGCCTGCTGGCGGCCGGCGCATCCTGTGGCCTCTTGCTCTTCCAGACGCCAAGGGAAACCAGCTCCAGGCACGAGCAGCCCCCAAGCTCTTCTGTTCTTTAGCCCTGCCTCCCTGCTGTGCAGCAGCGGAAGGCCCAGACCTCAGGGCTCTCCCCGCCCACCACCACAGCAGTGCATCCCCCAAGGAAACCCCCAGGTATGACCATTGTACCTCTGCCTGGTCCTGACCTGATCCTGGGTGCCAGGGCGTGGGCCTCTCCACAGGAACAGCAGCACCACGAGGCCGCCTTCAGCCCAGGCTTGTGGCTCTCCTCCTGGCGCCAGAGCCACCGCTGGGCCCTGCTGCTGCGCCACAACCATCCCCATCCCGGAGCCGCTGAGGCAGCCGGGACACACAGGCAATGCGGCTGCCTGCACTGGAAAACACGGGTTTGTGGCTCCTGGCACTGGAACGGTGATTCCCAAAGGGGCAGGCTTGCCTTGGGAAACACAGCACTTCCCAGGAAGCTTTCCTGAACAGTGAGGGGAGGCTGACCTGGAAATAATCGGTATCGTCAGAGATGGAAACAACTTCCCATGTCTCCTCCCCATAAAAATCATCCCCAGATAAGGACAGAGCCCTGACACGTCCCCCCGGCCTGTGCTGTCGCTTTGCTTGGTGCTTGTTTGCAACACAGGAGAGTGAGAGCCCCCTCTTGCAGTTTTCTCCACAGTACTTCACAGCGCTTTCCAGGTGCACGGAGAGGGACACAGCTCAGCCACGCCGCCTGGGACCGTGCAGGACGCATTTTGAGAGCTGCAAGTACTCCTGCACCCTCAACAGGGGGCCATTCCTGGTTCCGCAGGTAGCCTCCCCCAGTGCTGGGCTAGGGGTGGCCGAGAGCCTAAGCTGCTTTATTCCCTTTGGATCTGTTTGCGGCCCTGGTCCTCATGAAGCTGCCCAACCAACTTCCTCTGATGCCATCTCCCTCCACAGCCCTGTGCAATAAATTCCAGACATTCACTACCTGCTCTGTGGAAAACTTACTGTTTTGAGCCAGCTTCCTTCTGGCTCGATGAGCGCCTGTTGGTTCTAGCAGTGCCAATTCGGTAACTAATAAATAGCAGCGGCAGATGCTGACCTATTTTGTGGAGTTGGAGTGCAGCCCAGAATCTCAGACAATTTCAGGCTGGAAGGGACCTCTAGAGGACATCCCCTGCAATCTCAGCTGTCACTTCCTACCTTAACAGAAGCAGTTTCAGAAGGTCACAGGGCATAACTACAGGGGTAAGATGACAGAGCAAGTAGCACTTAATATCCCTTTTTTGGTGTGGGATAAAGAAACAGAAACAACATGTTACCTTCTGCTTGCTTGCAATAAATATTGCCTAGTGGCGCAGTGGAGCCCATGCCCTAAGCTGCCACCACAACCAGAAGATGGGAGAGCCCAACATGACAGCTGTTTCCCCATTCAGGAGCGTGAGCAAATAAGAAGCGACTGCATTGGAGAGAGGCTGCTGCACTGCCTTGCTAGTAGCAAGGCCAGACTCCCAGCACCAGATGAACCTAAACTGCAAATTCAAAATCAAGAGTGAGCCCAGAAGGCCAAGGAATGAAAAGGGGGGAGCCACAGGGGAGCCGGGAAGTCTCACGGCGCAGGACACCGCACGGAAAGGCCCCCATGCTGCGGCCTGGCGCCAACACTGAAACGCAGAGGCACAGCGCTCGGGAACCAGGCGTTTTAATGCTCGAGATGTTTTTTCCCCTTGGCAAACCGGGCCGCACGTGAGCTCAGATACACTTGATGCGTGGTGATGCGTGCCAGCCCCGCGGCAGCCTCTCCAGCCACATCACTGCAGCCTTTACTGCTGATGTGGGCAAACACGGACTTCAGGCCTTGCCTCTTGCTGGATCCCTGTGGCGTGGAGCACTTATGGAGGACTCGGAATGAAAAGGATTCACTTGTGTAAGCAGCATACCTGTTCTCAGCAAAAGCACTCCCAGATTTCTGCGGGAAAAGGGAAGAATTAATGCAGGAAGGGCTGGATCCAGCAATGCCTTCAGTCCATGAGGCAGGAGCTGCCCCGTGTCCTCCTCAGCAAGCTGCATTGCAGGAGTTTGCCAGATGGGCCCATCACACCGTGGGGCTGGAGAGCAGGAGGGGAGCGGGTGTCGCTGGAGCCCAGTCGAGCCACGAGAGCCGCTTTTTGCTACTGACACTGCTACGTCCGTGCTAGTCTCCCTGGCCCTGCCGCTGAGGCCGCAGCCGGCCCCTCCGTTCACACGCCAGGGAAGTTTTCACAGTGTTACACACAAAGTAGTTCAGACCATCATCTATAGATCCACCCAGCTGCTTGGAAATGCTTCCAGAACAAACAGGTTTTCTGATGCTTTAGGAAAATGGCTACCTACAGGGGCAGAGCTTCAAGTCTCTTGTCTCTGAACAGTGCTGAAAAATATTGTGCTTTTGGAAAGAAAAAAGGCAATAATTTCAAGCCCAGATCCCCAACAACTTGCACGTCAGATGCAGACTGAGGAAAAAACCTGCATTATTTAGTTGTACCTTTAAAGTGCAATGACAAAGACCTTGATTAAGATCACTGGATGAGGAGATTAAAAAAAAAAAAAACCCGCACACTAAAAAACAACTATTTGGTTAAAAAAAAAGTGCACTGCTGCATTGGAAGAACATCCACAGGGATCTGGCTGTCCCTTCCAGGCAGCCAGACCCAGCTAGAGGTCACTGTGTATCAAGTTTGCAAGGTTTGTTTTTCTGTTTTTACTTTCCAACAACAGTTTGACACTCTTCAATCCTCTTGACTGAATTCACTTGCAAAGTAAACAAGCTACCAAGTTAAGCAAGTGCCCTGCATTCAGGTAAAAATTCCTTTTTAGAGGAAGAGAGAGAGAGAGAGAGAGAATGGAGCTTTCTCAGAATGCAAAGAAACTTTTGATCAAATCAGATCAGTGCAGCTCAATCACTTGAGAGACCGAGACACCGACTGTGCTCATACAGAAGTCAATGAACTGGGAGAAAATAAAGCCTTGAGCGTCCAGAACCAATTCCAAGAGCATGAACAGTAGGTAGGAGCAGTCATCCTCGCTTCGTGCAACTTCACACCAAAAATAACAGGTTGCCAGACCCATTTTCTCACGTGCTAGAGCAGCTCAGGACGTGCTTGTGCTGAAGTCGTGGCGTCCAAAGCAGCCAGAGCAGAGTCAGAAACCAAGTCCTCTGGTTACACACACTCACCCAGATCCACAGTCTGCCAGTCAACCTCTTGGCCATCAGCATCCTAGGCACTTTAGAGCAAAAGGAGAGAAAACAGGAGGGGGAAACAACAACAACTCCCAGTGCGGCGTCCTGGATTACGGCCCTGCCGGCCTTCGCCTCCGTCACTTTTGGCGGCCGCGACGCTGCGGCCAGAGCCCTCACCGAGACACAGAGCACAGCGCACCCGCAGACCCACAGGTGAGAAACAGAAAGGGGAGGAGAGAAGGGCGGACGTGATGGAGGAATGAGATGGCTCTTCTCCGCGCCGGCGGCTCTTCCGGCGCGCTACTGTCCCATAGGAGAGAGGGTGTGGGGGCTTTGGCAAGATGACGTTACATAAAGAAGAAGCTACAGAAAAGAGAAAAGAAAAAAAGAAAAAGAGATTCAGAATTGAAATTAAAAAGGTGTGGGGGGGGGGCAGGAAAGAAAAGGAGCAACACGTCCAAGGAAACAAGCCGTAAGGGAGGGAGTGCGGCGGGGAGGCCTAGCGCAAGCCGAGGGCGGGGGCAGCGAAGCAGCAGTGCTGGCGACAGCAACAAGGCGCAACGGAGGGAGCCCAGCGCAGCGCCCGGCCACGCGGGGAGCCAGCAACGAGGCGCCGGGGAGCTCTCCCCACCGCCACAGCGGCACCGACTCACAAAAGGCCACTCGAAGACCAAAGCGTTTGGGTAAAAATATATTTCCTCTCCCCACTTCAAGTGTTGGCACTCTTTGTATAATACGTAACCTAAAGCATGTACAAGAAATAACTGAGCTTATGCTATAAGGTTATTATTCAATTTGTAATTCAAAAAGAAAAGAAAATACTTAACATCAAATAAAGTGACAATACCTAACAGATGCGTACATATCATTTAGCATTAACACTGTATGTAGGTTACACAATTATTTAGTTACAAACACGGGTTATTTTCAAATAGCAAGGTAATAAAGTTCTACATCTAGAGTTTAAGGCAATCAGGATATTAAAAATGTATACAAATACAATATTTCTACCGCTGTTCACAGCTTTATTTTTCCATTAATTAAAAAACCCTTCATACTTGTATAGTCCCATGCTGATACACGCCAACTAGAAAGTTAAGAGATATTACACACTGCAAATGCAACCAGGGTCCTTGGAGAAGAGTCAGGAAGAAGCACTTCTAACATCTTAGGCAAATAGTGATTAGATGTGAACGGACAAGTCTGATATGATTACACACAAAAAAACATTTCCATTTGCACCTGAACTTCTCTTTTAAAGAAAAAAAAAAAAAAAGAGAAGATGATGAAAAGCAAAGCGGGATGTAGCTGTAGTGGGAGAGGAGCTGCTCATGTTACAGGAGCAACATGCCTAAGGAGAGACCCTGCTCAAACCCCCTGGATGCCTTGAAACCCTGGTTTTCCTGCTCATTTGCCCTCTGCTAGGGTTGGAAATGCAACTTGCCAGGGCGGCGCGGCGCTGCCGAGCGGGGCTCCCGACCGCGCAGCGGTCTGTCTGCCCCGACTTGCTAAGCTCCTTTTGGTTTCCTTCCAAAATACCACATTCTCGTTATTATGGGAAGTTTTCAAATGTTTTTTAAAAGTGCCACAAGTAAGTGGACTTAGACAAGACAGCACAGCTGGTTTAGTCATACAGCAGTGAGCAGGAAGCGTGGCTCTTGCTACTCACGTGCGCAGGGGAAAGCACGCCCAGCTACATTTGAAGGAATCATTTACTCCATGCAGAGACAGGGATTACTGTGAAAAAAGGCATATATAAAGGGAGAGGTGCAACAGCAGCAAGCTAACCAGGGCTTAGGGCTCAAGGAAGGGAAAAAAGAAGTCCTTAACATCTCCTTCGGCAAAAACAGAACAATCCCATACCATGGCAAGTTACCACTTTCCTCCCAGCCCCTCCAAAACAGCTTGCATTTGCTGGAGGACAAAACCCAACCAGAACTACATTAATGCATTTGGCCAGAGTTTTCTGTCAGAAAACAAGAATAGCTGCCCTCAGCGGATTTCCCCCACCAAATATCGCTCGGCAGGGCTTATAAATGAAGCAGGACGAATAAATGCTAAAGCTAAGTTTTCTCCTTGGCATAAAACACTAGTAATTAAGCAGAGGACATGCACAGACACAGCTGAGGTGAAGCTGGCCACAAACCTGTGGCCCGAGGAGCGCGTGTGCGGCGGGACTGCGCAAACCCCTGCCAGGAACCTGCCTTCTTCCCCGAGAACTGAAGATTTGGAGGTTGGCTCTGCCAGAAGCCGCAAGAACTGTGGTCATCCTTAATGCAAACTGTGGGTTTGTTCTGTTTTTCTAAGCAACCCCCTTAAAAAAAGGAAAACAAAGCCCACTGTTCAACCTGACAAATGTAGAACCAGGAGATGCACCAAAAAGAGAGGAAGAAATAATTCTCAGCTGTTTTATTTCTGGCTTATTTATCCCTAACTGATTTTTGCCATCTGTCCAAGGAAGTGTATTTAGACATAGTCTTCCCAAAAGCCATGCTTAGGCAGTGAAGGTTAAAAAGACCCTAAATCCCTATGTCAACCTGACCCTTCAAAAAAGGTGGCAGTTCTGCCCTTTGCTAACATTCAGAGAAATCCCACCCCCAAAACAAGCAGAGAACTGAAGCGCGAGAGATGTGGGTGAAGCAAGTGACTTGTCAGAGTGCTTTAAAGGGAGAAACAGGAGACTCCCCAGCCAGGGGCACTGGCAATGCTGGCAGTAGAGCAGCAGCAGAGCAAGAAATCCCGGAGTCACAGGGCAAAGACATCTCACCACTTTATGGGAAGGAGAGGAAAGGCTCTGGCTGAAAGCAGGGCATAGAAAATAAAAATTAAGCAGGCAGGTCCATTTCTATACCTGGCTTGTGCTAGATCTCGCTTGTATGTCCCGGGGGGACCACTGGCCCTGGGACCAGAGTGGGGCTCGTGTCTGAGCGCTGTCTCTCTCTTCTTGTCTGCTCTGTCCAGTGCCCAGGAGGAGTCCAAGTCACTCTTGGGTGGTAACGAACCTCGGGACATTCCTTAACGCTGGCTAGCACGTGGGAGAGCACTTGTCCCAGGTTTTCCCCTGCTGTGCAAAGCTACCCCGGGGCTTGAGCCATTACCTTTCCGATGCACCGCGGTGGCCCTCACAGGCAAGCAGGACTTAGCGAGCAAATTGCTGCCCTGGAAGCGAGCGGCAACTCCAGGGATGGGGCCCTAAAACAACCGTTTTATCTGCCAACCGCTGGTGAAGGTGCACGGAGACTCCCCGGCACCGTCTGGATCCTGCAACTGAGCAAGGAAGAAAAAACCACAAGGAAGGCCCCGACAGCAGCAAGAGGCCATGAAGAGTCCAGCACCCTCTCGCCAGCGTGTTTTGATTCCTGACGAGGCTGCTGGGATCACGGGCATCTGAAACCTGGTGCCGGCAAGCAGCAACTACACATAACTGTAAGGGTGACTGCAAAAATATCCCGGTACATGACACAAACCCAGGCCAACTAGTCGGACAACAAAAACAGTAATTAAAAAAGACAACAAAAATCATGCAAATGTCATGGCATGCAAGGTCAGTTACACTTGGTTATCTCCACACACGCCCCCCTCCCTCCCCTTGCCGCAGCGGGACTCGCTCTGCTCTAACGCGGTAGCTTTGGAGGGACGGGCACGCTCAGCGCCACGGCCTGGGCCGCGGGAGCTCCCTGGGGCGGCTCCTGGGGTGCTGGCTGGAGGGAGCTGCGGCCGGCCCTCCGGGTAGGGCAGGCAGGATGGCATCAGCAACGTTGAGGACCCCATCCAGCCAAGGACGCTCGCTGATGTCCGAGCCGCGCTCCCAATTCAAATCCAGGGCCAGAGCGATTTACTGCTGCTGGTTTTGACCGGAAAAAAATGCACCGTATCGTTACCTTCCCAGGCCACCCATCCCTGAGTCTGCAGTTGCACGTAGTCCTGTACCCAACCCTTCTTCCTTCTTCTTCCCACTATGGTATTAGATGAGTTAATAGTTATTTGTGTTAAAAAAAAAAAAAAGAAAAAAGAAAAAAAACAGATGGCAGAGACACATTACTGCAAAAGCAGGTGAATGCAGGAACATCCTTGGCTTGACAGGCTTTATGTGAAGCTTGCGCTGCAAGTTAAAAAAAAAAAAAAAAAGAACAAAAAAACAAAAAAAAAGTTAGCAATAATAGAACCCCAAATGAAAAAAAAAATAAATAAACCAAGGAAAGCTGGGAGAGCCAACACCAGCAACCTGCTCTGGTGGGTGGGCATGCAGATGGATTATGGAATTAAAAAGAAATTGAACCTCAAGACCTGGGTCAAGTCTAGCCTACGTGACAAGCAAAAGCAAAAAGCAACACCGAGTGGGAAGCACTGAACCACCAACAAGTTCAGTTAGCCAAAGGTTATGGGATTTACTTGGCTGCTGCCTCTCCGTGGAGCGCACAAGCGTCGGCTGAGCTGAGCTACCCAGCACGGACGGGTGCGCAGCCCTTCCCGTGCTGCGGGGAGCTCCCAGCTGGCACATGGCATCTCTTGGCACCTCAACACACACCAATTTTCAGACCCAATGCGGATCCTTCAGGAATGAACAAAACCCTCTTTTACTGGGGTGCTGGGCCAAGCCCCAAAGCACATTTGCTACATGCTGTAGCTCAGGGATTTGCTTTGGGATTAAACATGGCCCAAGACAGCCAGACATTGGATGGAAAATTACTTGTATTGGAAAGGAACTGGAAGCAGGTTTTACATCTGGTCTTCAGAAGTAGCTTAAAAGAAACAGAAGGGGAGCCCAAACAGATGGTCCCAGCTCCTGGGCGGATTGAGGAGGAGCGTGTAACACCAAGCCATGTGTGGAGGTGCATGTGGTCATCTACCAAACAGCGGCCGAGCACCAAAACACTGTTTGCTGCTCCTCTTAAAACAGGGGGTGGAAGTCTGAAGCACAGTCCCACCCCAAAGTTACGGTAGGGGCGGGATAACTGGGTCAATCTCAGATTCAGCTTGAAGGACAACGTTACATGCAACATACTCCAGCGTACACAAATATCCGCTGTCCTCAAACCAGCACGCGTCCCTGGCATCAAGCCAGGGCTGCAATCATTCAGACAAAAAAAGCACAAACTACAGGGAATCTATCTGGAAAATGGAATAGAGGAAAAAGAAAAAAAGGTAGAAAGACAACGACTTGTTCCTACAGGGACAGTCTGGAAATCAGGAGGGCCAAGTTCTCCCTCCTGAAGTTAAGCCAGCAGCAAATTGGCCCTAGGCCTTTCCTCCAGCTTGCGCAAGACTGAGGAGAGTCTCCGTTGTCCAAGTTAGAAAAATCCGAGCCCACGTTGGGAAAGGAGCATTCCCGCGGGTTGCATTCTGGGGAGGCTGCGAGGATCATGCTCAGAGCACGGCAGGGGTTTCCTCTGGCAGCTGCACGAGCACCGCCACAGTCCAGTGCACCACAGAGAGCTCCAAAGCCTTACCTAGAGCTGCAGCTTTTTGTTAGAGCGCAGGGAGAAACGCAAAGCCTTCAGAGAAGTCAAGGCGCGCTACAGCGCGGAAGCATCAGCATTTCCCTTTAAAGCCTCCGTTAGTAGTTCAGACACTAGAGAACAATTTAAGCAGTTACAACACCTGGTGTGGAGCGACACTGAAAGGACACACTACTTAAACACGTGCATGTTCCTCATGACTGGATTTCTGTGAATGCATTGGCAAAGCAGAAACTGTGTTGTTTGTCACGGCCGCTGGAAACATCCACGTCTCACCCCCACAGTGCTGCGCACGGGCCAGCCCACTCCACAGAAGCGACTAGCAGCTAACGCCAACGACCAACAGTTACGGGACTCCCCACATCACTGAAGTATTGCTCTGGTCTCACGTCTAAGTGGCGAAGAAATCTATCACAGGGCTCATAACTATTAAGCTAGCAACTCTAAGAGACGAGAAAAAGGAGCTTTCAAAATTGTCTGTTACTTTTAGGGAAAGGGCTGCCACGTTTGAGAGAAGAGCAGGGTTTCAGCCTAACTCATTCAGGGGCATCGTTGGGAAGGGCATCTTGGCACGCTCAGACGTTGGCTGCCCGACACTTACCGGTTCTGCCATGAGGCACGACACTGCCGTCAGTGCCTGCAACCCTGTCTTTGACCAAGCAGAGCATGCAGTGAGCAAGCACTCCAGCTCTTCCAGCGGGTGCCGAGGGCCAGGTTCTCAGGCAGCATAAAGCAGCACAGCTCCATAGGAGCTACAACGATTTACATCAGCTGAGGAACTAGCCCTTGGCCCTGCCCTCCTTCCCCTAGGGACCTGGGGCCAGGGCAGCAATGAACGACAGGCATCGATCCAGCAGTAGAAACAGGGGATGCGCAGCAAGCGTCAGAGGAACATCCCCAAGCATAAAAATATACCAGTACATATGCGGTATGGTACAGCCTCCGAGGCTTATGCTGGAGACAGCTCAGACCTGGCCTAGGCTCCCAAGGTTAGCAGGAGACACAGAGGTGGCTAGGCCACATCCCTGCGAGCATTTTGGTTCTTTTGACAGCCATGGCTTAGTGTTAATTATGAAGGATACTCTGCCCGAGTTGACTAGGAAGTGCACTGTTTCACTATCTGCCAATCAAAAAAAGGAGTGTTTTCCAGTGAGCTGTGACTGTATTACCCTCGTTACAGCCTTCCTGGTTGCAGTTATAGATTGGCACCGTTATCTCAGATGACCCGGAAAGGACTTGCAAGAGCACCCCCTCCCTGGCTGCAGAAAACGGGGATGGAAATTACAGCAGGAGGCCTCAGCGCAGCCAGCCAGGCACAGGCTGCTCGGCCCGCACAGGCTGCACCGGGGGTTACGCTACGGAGAATTCGGGGAGCTTTCGGGCAAGGTTGGCAGCAGGGCTCTCCAGGGACTTAGCCCCGCGCCCAAGTCAATGGCAACGTTCCTCCAGGTTCGGGGCAGCAGAGCCGGTGCAGACCGAGCACATCTGAAAACCACACAGCTAGTGCTGACCACAGGACAGCTTCTGCATGCAGATACACCCCGTTCCTACCAACGGTGCTGGATCTCACAGAGTATTGAAGGGCATAGTATTATACTCCTAGCGTACAAATACAAAATAGTAGAAAATAATGCCATTATCTTTACTAAAAGGTATGGGTTTCTCAGCTTATTATGTCATCTTGATAAAAACACAAATGCCATTTCCTTGTACTCATGGTACCATAGTTTTTGTTGCTTTTAAGAGAAACAAAAACAAAGCTTTTATCTTTAAAGCAAGCCTCCAAGTATTCACTTTTGGCACTAGGATTCTCCATGTAAAAATAACATGGCGTTTTTGGTTTCTCATCTACTTCTACTTATAACCATTACCTTATGAAACAGAAACTGGGGACTACCTTTGGGTGAAAGGAAGGATGAGTAGAGATCACTTTTTAGTTTTGGCTCAGGCAGATAAATCTGAGTCCAGAACCTCCCAGAAGCTGCTGGACACATCAGAGGTCAAACCTCTACCATCTGGATTGCTCTCCCATACCAGTTAGACTTTGACATAAAAGGTGTTCTTCTAAAGACAAATTAACATCTTGTCCCTGGCCCACCCTTTAAAAAAAAATATTTTATTTGATCAGGCTGGTAACAGCCCGTTTTCCAGTCTGGTAATGGGGAAAAGCAAATACAGACATGCAGCAAGATAGAGGGAAAGTTGTAATAGATCCTACAAAGGATGTGGGTGACAGACGCTTACTTTTTCTTGTCCTTGTCTTTCTTGGTTTGTTGAGAACCTGCCTGCTGAGCCTGTGACTGTAATAGCTGAGCTGCTGCCTTCTTCTTTTGGAAGTTGTTCAGCTCTTCTTCAAGCTCCTTCTTTTTGTCTTCGACCTTTTTCTTCTCTTCTTGGTGAGTCCTCTTTAGATGGTCAAACTTTTCATGGAGCTGTCCAGACAAAGACAACAAGAATTGGAGGTGAAGAGAAGTACTTTCTATTCCAATTACTGACAACGATGCCTGGAGGGATCCCAGAGGCCTCGCTGCACTAATAATGTGCCAGTTTGGCTGTCACGAGCATGATCAATCTCGTGAGAGCAGCCCTGCAGCAGTGCATGCAGCAGGGAGTTAAGCTGTTAGGGTATCACAGGTCTCTGGGCACTTCCAAATCCCTCCCCCCACCGTGCATTGCTTTGTACCTAGTGTACCCAGTGAGCAAGGCAAGGCACTATGGCTACATGAACTAAGTAAATGACATGTGGACAGTACTTATGAACAGCTCTGTTGCACACCTCTATGACTGTTCCCTCCAGGAAACCCAAGGAAGCTTCATCTACTTACTGAAAGTCTCTAGAAAGGAGAGGCTGAGAAGGGCAGCTCTGGCATCAGCCCAGCCAGAGATCCACTGCAGCTCAACATTACTCAGAGCAGCAGCCACCCTGTCTTCTGTAGGTGGTGTCTGCTCCAAGGTCTTGATCTCCCTCTGGCTGCCCAAGGCCAGCCAATACTCCTGCCCCGCTTCAGGGGCAGAGAACCGGAGCAGAGGACTTGCACAACAACGTCAGGCCACAGGTTTGTGGCAGAGCTAGGAAAAAAATCTGCATCTTCTCCCTGCAACTGCTTGTGCCAGGTAAGCCCCTTTTCAGGTTCAGCATGGGAATGCAGGTGTCACCTTTGCAGCCCATGCCCTCATACACGCTCCTCTGTTAAAATATACTCACATCTTTCTCTGCTTCTTTCAACTCTGCTTCCTTTTCCTTGACTCTCATGACAAACATCTGCCTCATTTCATCCTCCTTCTTCTGGAGTTCACCCAGGAATTCATTCCTCTTTGCTTCGTAAGTCTCTTGGAGGCTGTTCAAAATATACAAAGAAAACAATCAAAGCTGTTTTGTGCATGCTAATGAGCTTCCAGCCTTTGGGAATCTTAGCACATTTTCCAGTCACGCAGTGTCACTAGAGGTCCTCAGTTGCAGCAGAGGTATGAGCACCTCCACCAAAACAAGTCTTAGCTTGCGAGATGGCAACAGTGTGGAAGCAAACCGGGGAGTCAAAACGAGCACACCAAACGAGTTAAGAACGCTGGCAGTCACTCAGCAGACAGGACGACAGGCCACCCAAACCAACAGCTGCTGGCCCAGAGCCTACGGCAATGTGCAACGCCAACCCAGCCTGCTGATCTGCTGGGCTCCCGCCTTCTTCCCTCACCCATCGTTTGGCTTGAGTCTCTCCACCTGAAGTAAAGGACGCGCAGAGCACAGACTGGCACATCAGAGCAAGAAATCTGGCTTTAGGAAGGTTTATTAAGCACAACACTGTCACAGAGCAAGATTCATGTTCACAAATCCCAGCTATAGATAAAATAGATTCTACAGAATCTATAGATTCTATAGACATCTCCCAAGGAGGCTTTATCTTTCTCCTTTAACTCTCGGGGAGGCAAAGCCTCCTCTGACTAACCACATGACCAGTTTACTTCATTCCTGTATTTGCCTTCTACTTCTTCATGTTGCATTATATCCAACATACCAAGATACTACAGCAAAAATTTGAGACACAAAACATGTTGTCAATGCACCTCTGAGATTTTCAGTCTCTTAGGAAGCCCGGATGCCAAATTCCTTTTCATTTTATTCCTTAAATGGTTTTGGATATTTCAGACATAATGATAGTGTGGGAATGATAACTATTTCCCCAGCATGCTTTTCTAAAAGTGCATTTTTTAATGAAAACTTCACTGAAACACGAGAAATGTACCACTTCATCCACTGGCATGGACATACATCTAAGGGACATATTAAAAACCAGGGTAGTGAACACCGTAAGCACATTAAAGCCAAAGCATTACCTCGCCTTGCACAGGGATTTTCTTTTGAGCGAGGGAATAAAACCTGACAGATGGGCTCCAGTGAGCACCCCAAACTGATGTGCGCTCCAAATCCCTCCTGAAACACTCCAAGGAGAGGCTGCCCCAGAGCTTGCTCTGCGCAGCGCCGGCCAGCCTCAAGCAGTCGCACGATTCCAGCTGACCAGACACTGAACCAAGGAAACGCTCATGAGATGTGAGCGCACAAAGATCTTTCCACCTGGGAATAGGGCAAGAGGCTTCTTTAGATACTGAACAAAATCAAGGACCAGACTCGTTGCAGCAGATTCAGGCTTACAACAGAATCGCCTTAAAATTCAGTCTTTAATTTCATCCTCTGACTTTGAGCATATGTATAAACCCTTCTGAAGGGCCTGGCTAGGGCCTAGGAAAAGCCTTAGTGCAGGTTAGGCTGCACTGCTCAATGAGAAGAAAAAAAAAGTCAAAATTAGTGAGATCTTGTACTAAGAAACAGCCGCACACACTGCTAACTATACCCTGTATTGCAAAGAGCTTCTTTTGCAATGAGCTCTTTTCCAAATAAGCACATTGCAAGTGATAGGCAAGCAAGGAACTGTTCCAGGCTCAATGCAAATCTCAGTTTCAAGCTTAAAACCTACAGCTAAACTGAAGTCAGAAAGCCAAATCTCCACTGAGGACTCCAAGCTCTAGAAGAGCCAAGTTAACAAAGGAACGGGCTCAGTAACTCCAAACTGTATATGAAAAAACCCTCATAGCCCAAAGGAGAAACCGTAAAAACTGACTTGGATTTGCTACAAAAATGACAAAGGAATTTGCTTTTCAAGTAAACAAACATATGAATATGAACCTGGATTAGATGAGCAACTTTATTCTCCAAAACGCAATGCACAGGGATGCACCGTCAATAAAATTCCCAGAGGAAGGCTCATTCCCAGAGGAAGGCTCATTTTTGATGACTGGAGGAAGAACAGAAGGAACCAAACCTAATGTTTCCCTCATTTCAGATAGACATTGGCCTCTGCAATCCAGCTTGGTTTCGGGGGTTTATCCTGCTTATGGGCAGGAGGCCCCTAGTGTGAACCACTCTGCACTAGCACGTACCAGATGGAGAAGTTCTGTACATTTTCATTTCCTTTCTACTTATAGCTTGGTCAGAAGAGGCCTCGTGCGCAGGAAGTAATGTAAATTCCTCAGATTCCTGGACGGGAAGGGCTGAGCCCATCTTAAGCCACTGCTCTCTAGAAAGGAAATCCAATAAAGCCTCACACTTTGGCTTCGTAACAGAGCTGGGCCTGGCTGATTTCACTAGGGTTTCTCCACTGCAAAGCAGTGCAGCTGCATATTCTGAGCAAGCCAGAAGCCTCATTTGAAGAAAGGCCCATGTCACGGCATAAGCTGAGCTCTGCTCTCCATGGGATGCCGTTTTCCAGAGACAAGGGAGCTGGCAGCAGATGCGCAAGGAGCCCGCACTGCCTCAGACTCTGGAACCCACCTGGGATTCAGTGATGAGGACCAGAGATGAGTTGTGCTCGCGGCCATTTGTGCTGGCCGTGGTGATGGGCACGCCAGCTCCTGACATACACACGTGTTACGGGCTAAATCCACAGCAACGCTGGGATGTGCATGTTATTCCGACTCTCCCTTGGGGCAGCGAGGGCCGTGGGATAGTGAGAGGGCAGCAGGCGTCATTACTGGGGAAAAGGTAGGGAGGAACGGGAAACAGGAAACCAAGGGAGAAGACAGCCCCCCTTCCCCTGCTCCCACACAGCTGCTGTCCCTGGCTGGAGACTCGGGCTTCGGACCAACAAAGCTGTCCGAGCCGGCACAAACTGTACTTAGCAATAAAGCAACCTCCCGCAGGAGACCAGCTCTAGGAGTCAACCAGGCCGCTTCTCCAGAATCACCCTTTTGCTCTGCACTCACACCTCAACACACGAGTCACCTTCATCCCACATCTGAAACCCAGCTGTTGTAGCTGGCTGTGGCGTTTGGCAGAGCAAGCTGGCTGCAAAACACCAGCGAGACCACAGTGGACACAAGGTGGCATGAACGCATCTCCTGAGCACCTCAGGGCCAGCTCTTCAGCTTCTCAACTGAAAAATGATGAGTTACCTGCTGTTGTCAACCGTTCCCAATCAGACATGCTCATGAGCATTGCCTGCAGGTCACAACCAAGCCACCCTAGTGCCTGACAAAAGCAAGGTGCTGGCCACACTGATACAGAAAGAAACCAGGAGAGAATAGCCTCTGTCATGTAAAGCAGCAGACAGCTAACGTGGACAGCAAAATCAGTCTGCTTAGACCCACAAGGAACTGCTTGACATAAGGAGTGTGTTCAAGGACCCCGGTGACATTTTACAGGCACTAGAAGGAATGTACGCTGCTCTGCAGGATTGCTCACATTTTCAGAATATTAAGGCAAAAATAAGTTCTCAGCCACTCAGCCTTCTCGTGCACACAAATACGAGGCCCTGAGGGCAGACCTGCATAGCTCAAGGTTTTTCTCCTCAACAGTATTTCAGATCCCTGCCACTGTAACGGGATTATCTCCCCCGTTCTTCCAAATCCCAGCAACCCCAAGACCTCACAGCTATTTGGTTGTCCAAGGCCCACGTTACACTCTCCTACCTGAAAGGTTTGCTGTCTGGATCTGTGTCCTTGAATCCCATCTCTTCCAGTTTGCAGCGCCTGTACAGCTCATAGTGTCGGGTGTGTGTCTGCTCTCTCAAGTCCTCCATGTTCACGCGGATCAGCATCTCCCGCAGCTTCACAAAGTCACAGTGATTTTCATTTTCAACTGCAAAAGAAACAGACCATCCATGGAGACAATGCTAAACACAGGAGCAAGTGTGTTAAATTTCCTGGAAATAGCAAGAAACCAGCAGGATGGGTGTCAAATATGAGACTTCCCAAATCGACTTCTCCAAGTCATGCCCAGTATTGCCCTCCAGCTTAGGCAGCTAAAGGCAATAAATATCAAGTTGCTCTGGGATCAGACTTTGTTACACAGAGAAACTGGGTGAGTTGTGCAGAACTGTCCTGTGGATGCTGCCCTGCAGCTTCTCTGGACAGATACAGGGCTGAAACCATGTTCCTTCACAAAGCAAACACTGAATTGCAAAAGCTCTTTTGAAAAAGGAACTTACAGTGGAGATCTTGCTACTCAAGACAGATTTTGATACAGCGCATCCAAAGATCAGCACGTCTTTCATGAGAACAAGACTGAACTACTAGGACTGACTTGTGCCTTTGGTAACCTACCCTGCACAACACCCCATGGGTACTGCCTGGCTTTTGCCATCTTGTTGCCAATCTTCACTTCTTCAGTGCTGCCAACAACGGCAAACGGAAGGTGGACCTGCCAAAGGAAAAGGACAACCGGGTTAGGGATTTCCTTTGTTGCCTTGCCAACAATTGTTTCTGAAGAAAGCTGTTTATTGTGGCAGCTGCAAGTTGCTTAAGATCCCTTTGCAACTTAACTGGTGTTTTAAGAAGACCAATTGGGCAGCCTGGATTAGAAGCCTGCTTGGACTTAAAGTCCAAAATTCTGAAGTCCTAAAAATACAGCAGAAAAATGCACATATTTTACATGTAATTACAACATATGATTATCTTGGGTGCATAAAGTGTCTTACAAAACTGAAATAAATTTGAGCATTAAGTAAAAATCTGTGGAGAAGTAAAAAAATAAATTACATCCTCTCAAGCAAGTAAAAAAAAATGGGTACTTCTCCTGCTAGAAATAATGGCTAATGTTTCCTCTTAAAAAAGACAAAACCCTGAGCAAGGGGAAGAGCAGAGCCGACCCAGCCCAGAGCTGACATGTGAGTCACCAAGCCCTGCTGTGTCCAGGGCCTCTGTGGGTGCGGTGGGGACAATTTGGCAACCCAGAAGCCGGTCCCAGAAGCACAATCACTGCCAAGATGGAGCTTGCCTGTCCCACTGGCCACGTCACAGTGCTCTGTCTGGCTTCCTGGCACCTGGAAAGGTTGCATCCTTGGTAGCCATGCCGTGGGCACAGGCAATACAGAGGTTTGGGGAAGTCCTGATAGCCAGCCTGCTCCAGAAAGAGTACCCTCCTCCTCCTGCCACTGCTGCTCTGCCTTTGCTTGTGCAACTGGCTACCTAGAAGCACTCTGGGTGGGTTTGCCCATGATTTCTACTGCTGCTAGCGCTGGAGGAAGGAGGAGAGAGCCAGAGTCCCCACCATAGATAGCCCCCGGCTCTGCCGAGGGCTCCAACATTGTCGAGGGCGCCCCGCTCTCTCCGGAAAGCGGAACAAAGGCAGGCGTGAATCACCCCCCGCCGAGCAACCAGTGGCCAGTTGGGACAGGAAGCCCAAACCCCAGCCCTCTACCCTGACGGCTCCGGAGCCCTGCCTCCCATCCTCTTCCTTTCCTGAAATGGGAATACTGCAACAGAGGGAGGATATGAAGAACTGCTCAGACGAGAATCCTTTTTCAGACAAAGAAGTAAAAGCAGCCAGGCAGCCCATGTGCTCTGTGCTCAAAAAGCCTTCTGGCCACCATGATTTCTGGGCTTAGACCAGAGTTTCAAAGCCAAAAGCAACACAGCACTGTGTGGCTTGCTTTTGGGAACAGGCCTAAGGGCACCAAGAAAAAACAAACCCCAAAAGTAAACGTACGCTCATTGTCGCGTTGATCTCTGCCACTGTCTCTTCATCTGTTGGGAACTGGTAGATCTGGACACCGTTGCTGACCAGCTCGCTCATGATTTTACTCTTGAACTTGTGCAACTCGTTTTTCGCTATGGTGTCAGCCTTGGCAATGATGGGGATGATGTTCACCTGCAAGACAAGGACACTTGCATGGGCAGAACTGCAGAGATTGCATCACCAGGGAGGTCCCGCAGTGGTGGCCCCAGAAGCACGTCGCAAGCCAGCGTCCCACCCAGCAAAAGGCCTTCCTGGGAGGGCTGCTGCCATCAGCATCACTGCCAGAGTCAGGATTTTCAGGCAGCAGAGATGATGGCCTTAAAAAGAAGTCAAACGCAATTTGGCAACATGCTATTTCCTGTGCTGTCATAGTTGACTCCCAATCTGAATCTGCTGGACAGGAAATGCTGTCATGGATTATTACAAGCTGTTCCAAAAGGAGGAAATTACCATGTAGGCACTTGTCCTGCTGAGCTGCGGCAGGCTGGGGGATGGCAGGCGACAGGCCTGGACCCCAGCCTCCCGCAGGGGTCTGCCCAGGCGTTGTTACCAGCGACAGCCGGGCAGGCAGCAGAGCTGCTGTGACACTGCTGGAGGGGGAAGCAGATGGTCCAGGCCTGCCAGGCGACACACGCGGCAGGGCTGGAGATAACAGACCTGCCTCCCTCCTCCGCGAGCCCTCGTGTGCTCAGCTGTACTGCAGGACTAGGGTCTGCGTGCCCTGCGCAGCTCCAAGGCTATCATCAGTGGAAGCAGCACGACAGGGTTAGCACAGATAGAAAGACTAAATCACAGCCTCCCTTCCCTAGACAGGCTGTTTGCTGCACAGGCAGCAGGATGGCAAAGGATAGCGCCAAAGAGCCAAGGGGAGACTTTTCTCTCTCCTTTACAACTGCAGACAACAGTGCAAGTGAGGAAAATGTTAATATTAATGTGAAAAGGTTTAAACTACATTACTGGAAAATCCTCTCGTATTACATAACTTAGTTCTGTTCAGAGGATGCCCCACAGTTATTAATTCAACTTCGCTGAAGGAACGAAGATGAATGCCAATTAGCTCATTTGGGAGAGATCTTTAAAATCCTGTTTTAACTTAAAGAGGCCAGGCATGGCTCCCCTGTACTGCGGAACACCCAGTCGATAGGCCCTTCCAGGAAACAGGACCGCCAGTATCATCCGTCTCCTGCAGCAGCTGGGGCCAAGGAGCCAAAGGCACAAGATGGACAAATGTAAACTGCCTAATCATGATGTAAAGCAGCAAAGAAACCTCAGGCTTAAAGAGTTACGTTTTACATTTGTGCTTCAGTTGTTATCCCTAAAAGAACAAAGATCAAGCCTTCTTGCAAGTATCTAATGACACACCATACTGTACACCAGGTTTCATTCCTCCTCTTGCTCATCAAGAGGGTAACTAAGAAAATGCACAGAGTAGCACACGAGCTTAGACACTTGCTGTTTAAGCAGATGAGCATGGTTACAACAACACTGCAGTTGTCAGAGATCACTGTTTGTGTCTAGCCAGATGCAGTCAGAGCACACAGACACAGTGCTTTGATTTCTTTTCCATTGATTAGTCACCTTATGTGTTCTGGATGTGCTTCTGCCCATCACACACACTCATCAAATCAGCTTTTGCACTGAAGCCTAATTTATTGGAGGAAGGAATCATGCCCTTTTCAGTCGCTTTGATTTCTTTTCCATTGATTAGCAATGTCACCTTAAGTGTTCTGGATGTGCTTCTCCCCATCACACACACTCATCAAACCAGCTTTTGCACTGAAGCCCAATTAATTCATTGGACAAAGTGAAATGGAGGAAGGAATCATGCCCTTTTCAGTGCTGAAACCAGCAGAGCTCAGCCTTAATCTCTCATTCTTATTTATGGATAAAAATAGGGAAACACACTTCTGTTTTCTCAGCAACCGACTGATCTCTGAAGGAATGCGTCACTGAATTTGGCTGAGTTAGCCCTCAGCAAAGCAGGATCTGCTGGTACCCTCAAAGAGAGGGTTTTCCACTCTTGGGTTGCCATCTTTACAGGGTGGCTGCATAGCCAAGCTTTTAAAGCTTTTAAACAACAGGAGAGTAAGCTGAAAAACAATGAGAACCCAAACTCTTATCAGATCTCTCTCCATGGAGCCCAAATCAGACTGACCCATCCTAGCAGCTCGCCCAAAGCACTAAGATTTTCACACCACACATCTGTAATGACTGTCTGCTAAAAACAGGTGGTTTCAGTGCAAGTCTGGCTAAGCCTGTGGAAAAGTAATGAAAGCACTAGCTGGGTTATAACACAGGCAGCAAGTACCTTACTGTCGAGCTTCTTCATGGTGACCAAGTCTAGGGACTTCAGTGAGTGCCCAGTTGGTGCAATGAAGTAGAGGCAGGCGTGAATCCTGGTGTCGTGGTAGTTGAACAGGGAGCGTTTGATCTTCAACTCTTCTTGCAAGTACGCTTCAAACTGTGCATCAATATATTCTACTATGGGCTTGTAGCTGAGGAGAGAAAAAACAGAGCTGAGCAAGCCAGGGCATTTCTTGTTTGGACAACACTCACAGAGCCTCAGAGCTGCTCTGCATGTTAGGGGGAGAGTGATGGCCTTGGGACCGTTCCTCCACAACCAGCAGTCCCTTCTTATCAAGCATGTTTCCAAGTGCATGCACAGGGAGGGATTAAAGACAAGATTAGCCAAAGAAAAGAGGAAGTGGCAGAGACCTGGGGGGGGCTAGGTACATGTTGGACCACATGTTCTGGAAAGTGTATTTTGCTGTTGTCCATAAACTTCCCTGTGACTTTAAAAGATGCAAGGATGGAAGGGAAAAATCACATGGGAATAGAAAGAGCTTGTCAGGAAGTAAGCCCATGAGCAAAGCACAACAAACACTGAGAACAAACATTTGAGGGTGTATGTTAGGGGAACAGTTTTGGTGGGGACAAAAAGATGCCATGATCTGACTTCTGTACTTCTGGAAGGGAACTTTGGCACATCACAAACCCCTGCCATCCACGATGAGCTCCTTATAGATGGCCTCTAAGCTCTCTAGCCCTAGGAAGCCCTTGAGGCAGGGCATTGAGCTCAAGGCACCCAAACAGTACTGCCACTGCCTTAAGTGCTGGATTCATAGCTGGATTCATCCACATCCTCTTTAAAAAAGCAGCTGTGAGCAGGAAGTAGAAGGTCAGGAGTTCCCATGTCCTCCTGAAACAGCTTTCCACTAGGCATTCTGTCCCATGCAGGTGGCCCTTGTGCAGCTCCAGCTGCCTTGGTCTGCGCCTCTCACACAGTAAATCACGAGTCTGATGTACTTCACCCAGGGTTTGCAGCAACTGCTCAAACAGCTTCCCTGGCAGCTGGAGCAGTGAGGCCACTCCAAAGCCCACGAGACACCAGAGCACTCATCATTAGCTCACAAGCCACAAAGGCCATCAGGAAGTCTCACTAGGCGAGCCTGCCACGCTGCCAGTTCCTCTGCCCTTGAAAATGTGGTGGGTCTCAGCAGGACAAAGGCCACACCTGAACCCCGCCACCCTGTGACCACCCCTCTCTAAGTGCAGGTGAGGGAAACCGGAGGGGTTTTGCTGCCACCGCTGCCAGTTCTGCCGCCTACGGAATGAAGCAAATGCCAAGTGAGCCGGCAGCAAGGAGCCCCAGGACATCCCTACTCCGAGCACCTGCTCCTCTTCCGAGCAGCTTCTACTCCTGCCCAGGAGCATATGGCAGTGCCTGACACCCCGAGTGGCCTTCAGCCACTGCATGCGCCTCTCCACGTCTGCTTGGCAGCAAGGAACAGGGCAGTTGTCAGGAGCAGGAGGGGCAGAGCAGGGGCAACAAGCACGTTAGTTTTGGTGTCAGGATACGAAGCAGGAAAGCGTTTCCAAATAAAGTCATTTTAAACATCGGTAACTTTTAAAAAAAAAAAAAATGCGTAAAATTGTATTGTGGAAGAAGAAGTTGTGCCTGTTCAACTGCCAGGCTAACAGGGATTTTGAGGCAAAGCTTGTTTTTAATCTTGTGTTATTCCAGAGCTGAGGTGAGCATCTGTCCCTCTATGCACCAGCCCTCATGTCCTAGTAGGTTTTGCTCAGTGCACACACTGCTGGCCAGCGTGCTTTCTCTCAGCTGGGTGCAGGCAGTTGCAATCCCACGAGGGAAGCTGGGATGACTGCAACAAGGGAAGGTATCACTCTTAACTGAAGGAGCAGTTAACCAGTGCCAAATAGTTTATAAATTGTGATCATAGAATCACTCATTTAATCACAAGAACAAAAGCTCATACGGACAGCCAGAAGGGAGTGCATAGGTTTCCCAGAAAATTTACTTTATACTCTAGAAAAATCAGTATCTTCCCTAAAGTGAACTCCACCTGGACTTGGGCATCAAATGCTATGAGCAGGATCTATAATCCAAGTTCGAGCTCCCCAAGAGATAGCAATACAGCTGCAATTTGAAGACAGACTTTCAAATATCTACATGTTCCATTCCAGCAAAGATTTAAACCCTGCCAGCCAGAGGCAAAGAGGGCAGAAATGCAGTTCCAGTTTTGTAATCTTTGAGTTCATCCATTTATTCTTCACTTCAGTCTTTTAACTTTTACCTGTCTCACAGGACTAGCAATATCAGCTGCTGTCTCAATATCAAAGTAACCCCAAGGAGCATCAGGAATCTACTCTGCTCCCAGCAAGAGATCAAGCCCTTCTGACCTCGGAGCACATCAGCGTGAGGACAGCTTGGCTGTGCAGAAATCAGTTTACCTGTCATCTTTGTTAATCTGGTCACCAAATCCAACCGTGTCTACGATCGTCAGCTTCAGACGGACATTGCTCTCCTGCAGCTCGTAGCTCCTGGCTTTCAACCTCACACCAGGCTCGTTGTGCGTAGCAGGTTCACTCTCAAACTTGGTGTTGAACAGCGTGTCCATCAACGTTGACTTGCCGATGCCAGTCTCACCTGGGCAGACAAAGGCTGCATTAGGCACCATCCCTTTTCCCCATCTCGTTCTCTGCTGTACTCATTAGGATAAGGAATGATATCACTCTGAAAGCAATGGAACTGGGCTACGTGCCTGTGGTTAAGCAAAATAAGCCCTGCAGGAACAGATGCCTTCTGAGGCAGCCTCCTTCTTTACCAATCCCCCAGGACCAAGCAGAGGACTTTGCAGACACTGAGACCCCTCAAAGATCTCTCTGAACTGCAAGCAGCCCTCCAGGAATGAAAACATGTATCTCAAAATATGCAAAATCCCTGCTTAAAAACCTTGAAAACCATGCAGTAGCTGTGTCCACATAAGCAAATGCCACTGCTCAGCTACTGCCTGTTGCTCTGTGTTACTTGACAGCTCATTTTGCTGACTTTGTCATTGAAAAGCTGACTGCTTTGGCACTTGCCTAGGGAAACTAAGGGAATATTACAGTCCAGAAAAATGCTCAACAGGAGATATACTTGGCACAGCATTCCTGGCCTGGGAATTTGCAGGATATCAAGAAAACTCCCTTTTTAAAAATAAAATAAAATAAAATAACCCCCTTTTTTTAAAAAATAAAAAAGTGTGCCTACACTTTTTTTTTTAGGGAGGAGACAGCAAGCATGCCTCAGATGATAGCTTATAATGTGGGCCACGGAGAGCAAAACCCATGTGAAAAGATTGGTCCTCAGCTGATAACATGCTGGACTGATCTCTGCAGCAACATTTCTTCATGAGGTGCTAACATGAATGCAGCCCTGCTGCACCAGAAGGGCTTCACGGCACTTCAGCCATATGAGATTTTTAACTGTAGTGCATGTTCCCAGGCCTAACTTAATTGCAGAACGAAGTTTTGGAAGTTTGTTTTTAAGGGGGAGATTCCTACTATTTGCACCACTGCAGCAATCTGTGTGAAATTTCCATTTGGGGCTAAAAAAATGGATGATCAGCACATTTTACAAGAGAAAAAAAGGACAAATTACTACCTTAATGGAGGCAAATCGAGTCATGCTAGCAGAGCAATACTTACTGCAAGAAAAAAAGGCAATTAATTTATGCCATTTTGATCAAAGTACTGCTTGGGAATAGAGATGCTCCCTGCTGAATTTTAAAGGATTTTGTGCTGTTAGGAGAGTCACATGATGGTTGGTAGCTTGAGTGTGCAGAAATATGAGCTCTTCTCTTATCTCATCCTTAGACACACACAGCTCCAGAGAGGAGTCTACTTGGCTCACCAGGCTTTCCTTTCAGAGGGCTGCGCTTGCTCTGCAGACAGAAATTCTACACGCCACAGAAAACCACAGGCTGAAGGCGGCATTTATTTCCAGCTACTTAAGGCAGCTAGTTAGAAGGAGTGCTATATTCTGCTTAAATGACCAAGAGAAATGCTTTGGGGATTGCTATTCCAAACCAGGAACAGAATCCACCTATTCTGTGAGGACCGCAGTTCTGGGCCATCTTGAGGAGGGTCATTAATGGGTCAGGCAGCTTTGGTACATGGCTCCCTGGGGTCAACCAATGGATTTCTAACTGCCCAGCAGCCACGGAGAGTGCAAGGGTAACAAACATCTCCCCATCCTTCAAAAATGAGTTGTAACCCCATCTTTCAGCTCTGGGTAATTTGGGAAAAGAGACTCAGGAACTCAGGCTAGAAAAGCAAGGAATAGCACCCAGACTAAAAACAGTGGAGAATAGGTGACAGGCTGTGTTCTCAAGTGCATTGCTTAGAGACTAAAAATGGCATCGCTTCCAAATGGAGAAACTCTGAATCCAGAGACAGGCAGGCAGAGCCTGAAAGGGATGGAGTGCAGTTTATTGAGAAACGCCTCTGTACCCAAACCGGAGACAGGCAGATTCAAGCTAAAGTTCTTCTAAAAATTCATTTAGTTCCCAAGTCAGCTCAGCTTACTGATGGGTAGACCTAGGGGAGAGATGGGCTTTAGCAATACCAAAAAGGTACATGTTCATCATCTAAAAATTTCAACATTTTGAATGCAGAGGCGAGGGAGGCAAAGGAAGAGGGGGATATTATATTTAACCCTGGAGCAGCTCCAGAAGGGAAAAGAAAAACAAAAAAAGACCTTAGCTCTCTGGCCCTGCAGTCACCATGTGCT